AGTTGGAGATAATTAAATCCAAAATTAGGTCCAGTCACTCCAAAGAGGAAGCTGAGTCACTTAAATATGCTGAGAAGAATCTCATTAATAAGGTATGGCAGTCCTGGAGGTTCAGCTTTTGTGGTGTGCTTTTTCTCTTTTATTAATATTCTACTGCTTGATTATCTTACTGTCAACTTTCTTCTCTGTTAACACCTTTGACAAAAAGTTGATGTGCATAATCAGAAACACACATTAGCAACTTAGCTAAGAACTTTTTCTGTCTGTTTTTAGAAGTAAAACTTAATAAATGCTATTACCTGGAATCAGTTAAGGCTTGGAGCAACAGAAAGAATAGGTAAATAACTTTAAATTGCTAATTTTTTTTGTCTATGATCATTTGACTGATGCAAAATGCATAGATAAGAATTGGAGCACTGGAGAATTAAGAAAATTATGTACATGTGAACTTGCTTGCTGTTTTACTGTCCAGTTCAATCTATTTTAGTTAGTTTTCTGCCCTGGCATGGTTATTGTGCTAATAGCTTTGGATAGTGGTGGAATGAAATGATGTTTAGCTTTGGATGTTGCGAGCAGTGCTTGCTTGTAAATCTACCTTAGGTGGTTAATTCTTGGGAAATCTATTTGGAATTTCTATAGCTTCTTACTTCTCTTTTATCTTTGCTTCCTCCTGAACTTCTACTTCTACACTCTTTTTCTGAGATTTTCGGAGCTAAAGTTCAATTAAGAATTTCATTTATTCTTTAATGCCTGTGGGGCAAATTTGGGTCCTGACTGAAAGGCAGATAAGCTAGAAAGCAAAGGAAAAGGGTACATTTAATCCAAATTGTCACGGGCCAAAAATGTCATTGAAAGTTATACATTTCTACTGAAAACAGAAAGAAAAAAAAGCATAGCTGTCATTTTTCAGTTTCACTACGAGATGTGAATTTACACTGTACTTATTCCTCGCATTGGATTTGATTTGGAAACACTGCTATCAGCAAAGACCTAATTAAAACTGCTCAACATTTGTTTCCGAGTTTTTTTGCTTTAATTACAGTCAATAGCATTTTGCCCTCTTAAACTGTGGGGTTATTATAAGGGCTAAACTAACTGTATATGGCCTTTTTTGTCACACGTTTTAGGTTTAGGGTGAATCTGGTGAACACTTTAGGGTAAATGATATCGTCACAAAAACTTTATGGCGTAGCAAATTTCTTTCAAAATGACAATTATACACTCCGCTAGGCAAAAACTTTATGGCATGGCAAGATTTTGATAACGGTATACAGTTGGCATTTTGGAAGAAACCTAATGTGACACTTTCACTGACTAGACCACTTTTTTTTTCTCTCACTGAATAGATTGTTAATAGACTTGGCCTCATCTTAAAAAAGTAAAACCACTGTGTTTTCTGCATTCAAATCATATCACTATTGCTTACCAGTGCTGCATATCTTATACTCATTACCCCTTTTATTTGTCTACTAGGACATTATTAATATTACCTTCTATGGATCGTAAGTTGAATACTGACATACAACTTTATGTTACGCTATTCAATAGAGATGTTGGAAATGAATTTCTCTTCACTGAGAAAGTATTACTGAAAATTAATTTGATGTGAAAAAGGTCTAGATTCTTGGAGGGTTATTTGTAAAATAACCTTTACTAGTAGGATGATACTTACTTATTAATCAATGTCATCTTTCTATTTACTTCTGATAGGGAGATCAAATTGATTAAAAGATAGATGTGTGACAAAATATCATGATTTTCTTTTTACAGGTTTAAAATCTCGGTGTGCCTGTGATAAAAGGCTTATTCCAATAGCATTAGTCGTTTTAGAATTACAATGAGCGTTAGCTATAGTTTACAAATGGTGTCCTTAGGGTTACAACAAGGGTAGTTCCTTCCTCTAAAGAAAAAATTGTATGTTTGAGTTTACTTGTAGAGATTTGCTGTAATGCGCAACCGTTTTTTCAGTAATTTCTAATTGCTATCTACCATTTCACTTTGAAATTTGAGGTTGGTGGGCTCACAATATTTCTGCCATTAAAATCTTTAGAAGACTCAAACAGTCCACCGCTGCCTATGACATGTACTTCTCATGTTTGTTTCACAAATCATCAACTTCTCTTGCAGGAACATTTCATCAACTATTGGATGAGAAATTGGCCCAAAATTCATAATGATGTGCAATTGTTAATATTAAGTCCGCCAGTGAACATGAGATAGTAGGAAAGCAAGACTCATTTCGCCCCATTCTTTTTACTGTGCATAAAAAATAAAAAATAGAAAAACTCCCAAAAATGAACTAAAATTGGGATAGAGGAGTATTTTTAAAATTTCAAAAAAGCTGCTCATGAATAAACCGTTGAGAACAGGACCTAAGTGATCATTAACCGTTCATAAAAACTTTATTGTAAACTTGTGTTTCCTAGTAACTTAATACTTTCTCCGACCTCTGTAATTCATCCATTGAGCCATGATTTTGTGCTTTCTGCTCTTTCTAACAGTTTGATGTGTTCTACTTGACTTCAGTATGACATTTTGCTAATAATACCACTTTAAAATTCAGATATATACTGATTCAGCCGAAGCCAAGATTCCAGCTGTTCTGGATTATTTGGGAACTATGATAGAGGTATCTGGACATTTTCTTACGTCAATTATTTGCCACTAGTTAAAGACAGCCATCAGTAAATTGATTTTTTTCCCTTATATGTAATCTGTGTATGATTTTGTGGTCAGAGGATGGAGCTATTAGTATGCATGTCAAACAAGTTGATAAAAATTGCACCATGATGGAAGTTTCTAATTGTATGATTGGGGAAGAAATGGATGTTGATGTTTCCAGGCTACTTTGGCTTGGGTTTTTTTTGTCTGTGAGGGGGAGGGTGATTGAGGTGGTTGGGGTTTGAGAGGTGGTGTTGAATGTAAATGAGGTGTAATAAAAACAAAGGTTTCCAAGTTGCGCTGTCTTCTAGATTGCATTTAGTTGCGGTGGATGTTATCTACATGGTTGAACTCTTACCAATAGTGATTGCTGTTTTCTTTGTTTGAACTAACCTTCCATTTTAATGCTGTTCACTTACATTGTTAAGTTCTAAATGCACAGGCTGGCTGCAAGTTCCTAATTTTTGCACATCACCAACCAATGATCTGCTCAATACATCAATACCTGCTTGTAAGGCCTTTGAGTTTATGTAAGATTCGTTAAGATCTCTACAATCTAGGATTCACTATCATGTTTGCAGAAGAAAAAAGTTGGGTGTATTCGTATTGATGGTGGTACCCCAGCTGCATCAAGGCAAGCTTTAGTTACAGACTTTCAGGAGAAAAGCAGTATAAAGGCTGCTGTGGTATTGCACTTTTTCTGTATTTTCTTCATCCTTGACCACAGTTATTTTCTCATGTGATTTTGCATTGTCATGTCGTAATGTTTTATTGGTACAGCTGTCTATTAAAGCTGGTGGATTTGGATTAACCTTAACAGCAGCAAGCACGGTAATCTTTGCAGAATTGTCTTGGACACCAGGTGACCTGATTCAGGCAGAAGATCGAGCACATAGGATTGGTCAGGTAATGACTGTCATTTATATCATTTTTGTGGTTGAAATATTCGCTTTTTCAACTGTACTGATAATTTTCACCAGCCACTGAGAATCCTGCACGTTGTTTTATTTTATACAAGTCATTCTGTCCGTATCTTACTCTTGACACCATTCCGCACACTTTATTTTTGCATGTATTGGGCCTTTTCTCAGAAGCCTATTTGTTGATTTTGCATTCCCTTAGCATGGTTGCTTTGACATGTTTTGTTGGCTTTGCTTTTCAATTTTTACCTTTATGGAGCTAAAGAAATATCTAGGAGGAATTATTCTCTGATGGATGTCCCTTTGGAACAATATATTAAGATTCTTTTAGCCTAATGTAATAAAAGTAATGTGTTCATCTAATGGATGATTTATGCATGGTTATACATAGAATAGATATGAGTTTCTTCTTTCTTCTATAATTTAACCAGTCATGATAGATAGTCATCGAAGATCAGGTCCTAAAACGCGCAACAAGTTCAATGAAATATCTTTAGAAGCTGGAATGGATTCTCAAAATAAGAAAAAGGGGAAAAAAAAGAGGAAAGCAAAAAGAAAAACAAAATAGGTATATAATTGTGCTTTTAAATTAGCACATGGGTTTTTAATTTTTCAGAAGCCCTCGTATAACTGTCTCTCCATAAAAGCCACAAAATCACTACAGGGCATAGATGCTGCATGCTGCTATCATGGTTTACTATAAGATTTCTGAGAAAAATGTTCATGTTTGTAAAACCAATTTTTGACTGGAATTTCTTGTTTGTGTTTGACTGGCTTCGTTTTTGTGCTTAGGTATCATCAGTCAACATATACTATCTGCTGGCAAATGACACAGTCGATGATATAATATGGTAACATGCATTTATTTGCTATTATCAGTGCAATCTCTTTTTTTGGGAGGGGGTTGAAATTGTTGTGTGTTTCACAGCTGAGACTTCCCTAATTTCATACTTGTGTAGGGATGTTGTGCAGAGCAAATTGGAAAATCTCGGACAGGTCATCTTCTCTTTCCCAATATTCTGTAGTATATCCAAGTACACAACAGCGAAGAAGCTTTTTCTTCACAAGCCTTTCGCGCATGATGGCCATGCATGGTTGGGACCTATTTATTATGTGAACTAAATCTGAAATTTATTATTCTCCAGATGCTCGATGGCCATGAGAATTCCTTGGAAGTATCCGTTAATCAGCAAAACAATAGCCCGGCAAAGCAGAGAACCCTAGATTACTTCATGAAGCGTTGCACAACTCATCTGACACGTGCCAATATTCAAACATGCAAAGCATTGAGGATTTTGACTACAAACTGTTGGCCCAAGACAGTAATGATGTTTGCTTTTTTCAGTTCATACAGGGGCGTGTATAAAAACAAGCTTTGATTTTAGAATTTTGGTAATGCAAAATTTTTGTCTTCCATGAATGTACAACTGTAAAATTGCCTTGTGATAATGTACAACGGAGAACTGTTCGCCACATTGCCAACCAAAATAGTTACATATGCACAATATCGGTGAGAAGTGACATTAGCATAACAACCTAAGATGTTGCAGGGAGGCTAAATTCAGAACTCTCTCTAACGAAATTGGCCATGATCAAATCCTCATCCTCAGACCTACACCAATGCCCGAGGGATTATTAGCAGCCTCAGCAGGACAATTGAGAATCGTCACATTAAGAACATCTCTACATTTGCCCATGCACTTGCATTCTGAAGTTCCCCCAAAAGAGTTGCAGCACTAGATTCTTGCAGTCACCACCCAAAAAAACAAGCTTTGATTTTCTCGGGTGATGCTCCTGCAACTGAGCCCTTGATGTCACTGTCCACGTAATCTCTAAAGAAGCTACCAGTCCCAAAGCAGTCTCCTTCACCTAGACCCCCTGACATTCCATTCTCAATACATGCAGCTATAGTTGAGGTTTATTCTCGAGTTGATAAGCTCTGAATGATGGACAGAGCTTCTGAAATAGGTGCTTGGAGTTCATCACTACCTTTTCTTACACCAAAAGTTCAAGAAAGGCTAACTTTTCAAGCTCAACAACTGACTTACAAAATTTTCTGCTTTCATGTCATTAACCACCTCTTTGCACTTAACGTAACTTGATTCTGAAAGATAAGGTTGAAAATATTGAGCTCGAGGCCAGTTCACGAACACGGCGTATTTTCTCAGGCATTTCTCTTCATTTTCAATTCGTGGACCTCCATGTTTTACCAACTCATCTGCCCTATGAGCCAATACTCAGACATGCAAAGCATTGAGCTATGACTCTAGAATTTAGGTAATGCAAAATATTTCCCCTAATAATCTATAACTGTGTGGAAAAAAGGGCAAATGTGAAATTGCCTTGTGATAATGGAAAACGGAGAGATATTTACCCCGTTGCCAACCAAAGCAGTTGCATCTACACAATGCTAGCGAGACCTGGCGTCAGCCAGCCATCCCATCCTACTTACGGTAACAATCTATGATGTTGCAGGGAGGCTACGTTCAGAACTGTCTCCAAAGAAATTGGACACGATCAAATCCACATCCTCCAAGCCCACACCAATACACAAGGGGTTAGTAACACTCTCAGGACCCTTGAGAATCCTCACATTAGGACCATCTCTACATTTGCCCATGCACTTGCATCCGGAGACAGCTCCTTCAATGCCAACTAGCCTTTGGAGTTCCCCCAGAAGCGCTGCAGCACCCGATTTCTTGCATTTACCACCCATACAAACCTCGATTTTCTTGGGTGATACTCCTGCAGCTAGGCACTCATCAATGGAACTTACATTATCCACATAATCTCTAAAGAAGCTACCGCTTCCAAAGCAGTATCCTTGATCTGAACTCCCTGAACTTCCAATCTCGACACATGCACCCATGGTTGAGGTTCGTTCTTGAGTTTCTGAGCTCTGAATGACGGACAGAACATCTAAAATTGGTGTTTGGGAATTGGTCACGACCTTTTCCTCCGCCAAAAGGCCAGGAAGGGCTACTGATTCATGCTCAATAACTGGTTTTAGAAAATTTTCTTCTTTCATGTCAACTACCTGCCCACATTCATTGTCACTAGAATCTGAAGAGGTTGACGACATTGAGCTCGAAGAAAGTCCATATTCCGGCATAGTTTGCATTTGTGCCCTCATTTTCTCACCTTTCCTTGTCATCTTCAATTCCGTATCCTTCGCTATTAGCTGTTTGATTTGACCTGCAATACCTCAGCCGCCTCCTGCAGTTTCAGTTTGATGACAACATGAGTTTCAGGAAAGCATACTGAGAAAGTGAGAAGAAAGCGTTCAATAGTTATGCGTTTCGGCTTTCTGTCAACTGTGACCGAAGAAGCCTAAGAAAAAGTCAATATTGAAGTCCCGAACAAAACCCATCAGCGAAAGACAAGACAAGAGAAGCATTTCCACTTACTTGAAGAAACGGGAAAAGGAAAAGCTTCACTCGCTCGCTTTTTCGTTAGGCACAATAGAAACAAACAACATAAAAGAAGATTCAGGAAAAGAGAGAGAGGGGGGGGGAGATGGCCGGATGGGGTGGAACTAAACTCAACTGAAGAAAAAGCTTGCTTGTGATTAAAGAAATAAAAAGAAGGGGGCGGCAAGAAAAAAAGGGGTAAAAAAACCGATGCAACAGCATGCTTAACTAACAGAGAATACAAGCAAAAGCTGTGACCGGACTTACAGCGATCGTATTGGCTTTGACTTCATCAAATAAAGTATTATCAGCAAAACCAAAATTCATCCCACCAGAAGAGAACATGGACAAGTCCCTGGACAGGCCCTCCAGCATCTTCAACCTCTTCTTCATCATCTTCTTCGTTGCTTTGTGCTCCTTTTCATTCTTGTTCATGTCCTTCTCTTTCTTTCCCCCACCACCCACCGCCACACGTGATATTCCCTCCTCCTGAGGAGTAATAGTCCAAGTGATCGCTCCGACGAAACTCGTGCCCGGAAAGCCCAACAAACTTCCTCGTTTTACGACAGACCCTCCTCAATCCTAAACCAATACCAGTAAATGAAGAAGAAGAAGAAGAAAAAGATTCAGCAGCTTTGCGGGAGTGGCCGTAGCCATCTATTCCAGCAGCACCTGAAAAGGAAGGGACTGAGCGGGAGATGACGCCGATCGCCTTCATCTCTATGAATTGATATAGTAGTTTATCCTTTCTTTCCTTTTTCCGTCTGATATTACCCTAAAACTTCTACTCGGGAAATTTATCAACCAAGCCAAAAAAGGAAGACTTTTCCTTGTACCAGTGTAATATATGGCGAATCTAATCTATCTATCCCTCTATCTTCTCTGTGCTCGAGCCTCCAGTTAGGAATGCCGACATGTAGACTCAAAACGAAGAAAAGAAACGGAAACGAAGAGGAATCTGTTTCTTAAGACGGTGCTTCGGCACGTGGTTTATTTCAGTCGAATCTCAGGCTACCCATCCGATGTGGCACATGACGTCTGCTCTACACATCCGCACTCGTGACTGTCGTCATTTCTCACGTGCTTTCCCGTCCTGACATGCGCCTGCGGGCGATCTAGGTGGTTCGATCATCTACAGCCACATCCAACGGTTGTTCATCATAAAGCATCCCGTAACCACGTAGGATACCAAGTTTAGGGGAATGGCACGTAGGATGCCATGTAGGCATACTATGTCCACCGTGCATCGTTCTTTATCCAGAACCATACTGGAGTTACATGCGAATACGAAAGGTAGGTTCCAATCACATCCTACCTAATTGATTATGGAACTAATGAATCCGCATGTCACCTAAAAGCATAGTTATTAAACCCGGCCCGAAGAGGAACCGGTGAAAGAGGTGGATCAACGGGTTACTGGTTCAATCGGTGGGTGAGTGGTCCAACCGGTGGATCACTACATATATTTAAATATTATGTTTTATAATTTTTTATGCCATAATAACTATTCAGTTAGTTTAATATATTATAGATTCATTAATTTTTCTAAGAATTAACAACCTAAATTTAATTAGTAATCCACCAAATTTCAAGTATATAATTTTATCTAAGTGTAATTATCTAGTTTATTTATGAATTTTAAGTGCAAAAGTTTATTAAGAATAATATTTGCCTTTAAAATGATTTGTGTAATATGTTATTTTTAAGTCAATTTCATAATTTATAGAGTTCAGGGAATAATAAAAATGTTATTAAAAAGATTCCAAATAAATTTTGTTTTGGAGAAATAAAATAAGAATAAGACTCTAATATATAGTATAAGAACAAAATAACTAATAAATGGTTGGTTGGTCTGGCAGTAATGGTAGTCTACTTCTTTGCATGAGGTCAGGTCACGTGTTCGAATCTCCAATCTAGCAATGTTTACAAAATTTTTCCGTAGACCGGATTCCTCGTAAAATCGGCCGGTTCAATCAAGTTAACCGGTTCAACTGCCGGTCCGTTGAAAAGTCAACGGGTTCAATGCAGAAAAGATCTTATTAGGACCCCGGCCGGTCCGGTTAATGACCGGTTCACCGGGTTGACCGGTTGAACTGTCGGGCGGGGTCAGACTTAATAACTATGCCTAAAAGCTCTTTTTTTTTTTAACACGAAACCTATAAAAATTTTTACATACCTCAAAAATAGACCAAAGTCTATTTAGGATTGCAGTAATTTATCATCGTAAAAGAACTGATGTATACATAGATAAAGCTATATGTAATGAGGGTTTGGATTATGCATTTATAATAAGATGATCGATCGTTTCTGTTTAGTGCTGAAGCGATTTATAAAGTATAAGACAAGTCGCTATGATGAAATTGATAGACACACTAAATTTAATCAGTCGAAGGAAAAACGAGGGGATTTTTTATCCTTCTTGTGAAGTTTTTTGAATAAATGATTGACCACAAAAGAGTCACTAATAATTTTAGGCCTTGTTTCGATTGCCGGTTTCCGTCGAAAAATTACGTCGTTTTCCCGTGATCACATTTTCCTATTACCTTTTTCCCTCACATACATCAAATCGCTACAGTAATTTTTCCATGAAAAATCACGAAAAATGCAATCCAAACACAAACCTTAGTTAATCATGGACAGAGACGTTCTTATTAAAACAATAAACCTCTATAAAATAAGTACATATACACCCAAAATACTCTTGTAACTACTATTTTCGCTTGTAATCGATGGAATTATCCAGATGGGTTGAAACTGAAAGCGTGAGTAGGACCTTCATTTATTGAGTAGTCTTTACCCTTTTGTTTGTTTCCTTCAAAATTTTTATTTGGGTTAATCACATTTTATCCTCTTAAAGAATACTCCATTTCTCAGTTTACTCCCTAATCTTTAATTTTGCTCACTTAATTCCCTTTAGGATAAAATTGCCTTGGCATTATTTTGACTTTTCATTTACCTTGTTTTCCTTTCTTTAATTTTTTTCTCTCTTCTTCTTTATTTAATTCTTCCTCTTTCCCACAAAAATCTTCACCTTAATGATTGAAATTAATAAAGAGGAATTGCAGATATCTATCTTCTCCTTAAATGATTAAAAAATATTCAAATCACTTTTCTAAAATATAATTTTTTTAGCTTTTCAATTCTTTTAATTTTGGATTTTCCTCTTTCCTTTCTAGTTTCTCATTTTATTCTCAAGAAAATATCATAAGATAAAAATTGTTTTCCTTTCTTTTATTTCTTTTTCTCTTTCTTCTCTCTTTCATCCTTCCCAATAGAAATTCCATTTCGACGAAAATTTTTGTTTGAGTTTGTAATTGCATATTTCTGGGTGAAGGTTTAAAAAGCATCAAAAACTAATTTTGATTTTTTGTGTGATGCCACATGTCACAAATTTCAATTGATGATTATTAATCAGGTCAGCAATTTCATCTTAAGATATTTTCTTGGAAATAAAATGAGAAACTAGAAAGGAAAGAGGAAAACCCAAAATAAAAAGAATTGAAAGGCTAAACAAATTATATTTTAGAAAAGTGATTTGAATATTTTTTTAATCATTTAAGGAGAAGATAGATATCTGCAATTCCTCTTTTTTAATTTCAATCATTAAGGTGAAGATTTTTGTGGGAAAGAGGAAGAATTAAATAAAGAAGAAAGAGAGAAAAAAATTAAAGAAAGGAAAACAAGGTAAATGAAAAGTCAAAATAATGCCAAGACAATTTTATCCTAAAGAGAATTAAGTGAGCAAAATTAAAGATTAGGGAGTAAACTGAGAAATGGAGTATTTTTTAAGAGGATAAAATGTGATTAACCCTTTTTATTTATATAACATTGGAGATAGGCTGGCATAAACAAAATGTGTCACTTAATGTATCATCAGATATATCCTTCTTCAGAAAGATAATTAACAACTTGTTCCCCTACAACGACTCCACATCTAATTAACTACCACTCCCCCAAGATAAACTATCGCTTTTCTAGGATAATGGGCAAACTTTGTCATACTAGAATATAAATTTCAGCTATAGCTTAGAGGACGACCCAATGTCACAATACGTGCAGCTGTATGGTTGGAGATACGTTATCATGAATCCATTCCACAACCTCAGGCCTAATTTTGTGGGAATTACTTGCTACTTCGGAATCCCACCGGTTGAATCTCTTGTATATCTTGCGGCATGAGTTAATGAAGAGCACTCCAAGTTCAACCAAATTGTCAAGCAGGTATTCCAGCAGCTCAATTTCATGCGGACTACCATAGAATCCATTTATTTCCAACTTAGTCAGGTGCCTATGAGTGCATTCAGGAAGCTGCCTTGGTGAAATATTTGATTTTCTGATGTAGCTTGGAGAAAACAACTGAAAGAAACAAAAAGAAAGAATCATTAAGGGGAAAAACACCTTCTCAACAGATGAAGAATGAAACAGAAATCGCAAAGGCAGTCAAAGTACTCGTCTCCCCAGGATTTTACACAGTCTTGCTATATCTGTGGCACAAATAGACACTCTCTGATAAATGCCAATCGGCAAGTCAAGTCTGTGTAAAACAAAACATCTAACAGCAAGGAGCAGGAATGAAACAAATGAAAGAACAAACAAGAGCGAGAAGCAATTCAACGGGAAAGGCAAGCAAATATGCTTACATTGAGTTGGAGACTGCGCAACGAAGTGAAGGTCTTCAGCACATAAATAATCCAATCAAATTTGTCTTCATCGTGGAAAGGAAAAACAGTAAGGATTAGCTCCTGGACATTAGTAAAGTTTAGCACCTTGTCTGGCAGCTCTGGTGTCTGTGATAGAAAGAAAACACAGTAAATACAAATTGACATCCGAAAACATAGCTAAAATCCTTAAATAATGCAGCAAATTAAACACACGGAAAGGTGATATATCAAAACTTGGAACTGCTCTTTGAATAATTATTTTACCTTCATGCCCAGTACTGAGACCAGATTTAAAGTCCGCAAGTGAGGTATATCACAAGCAAACCTCGAGAGTGCAGAGCTCACACCATCTTGTCTGTTATGACCCGTGAAACTCAGATACATATCTGTTAACCTTGGGGCATATTTGAAGGAAAAAGTGGCTAATTCACCGGTATATTCAAATGTGGTAAGACTCTCCGGACCAAGTTCAATGCTGTCTAATCTAGGGCAATTCTGTATGCTTAGAATCTTAAGACGAAATTTTGGACAGGAGAATTTAAGTTTGACAAGGTTGGTGCAGGCAAGCAAACTCAAATTTTCAAGACGTAAACAGGTCAACAAGAAATTCTCTAGTTGCTGATCACTGATATTAACGTCCCGTAGTTCAGCGGTGGTCAGAGAGGCCAGGCTGCCAGGAGTGGGAACAGAATCAAAATTACAGCAGGTCAGTCGGAGATGCTTTAGAGCACATCTAACATTAGGGGATGCAAGAAGCGAGCAGGAAAATGTATAACGTTCGAATTCAGCTAGGGGCACGTTATCTACTTTAAAACTACATGATTCGGACAGATCAAGGTCAATGATCTCAGCTCCCTTAGCAAATGCGCATTCAATCCACTCACTGATGTGAGAAGCGAACTCTTTACCTAAGTGGAAGTGTATGGCTAAAGAGTCTATCCTCAGACCTCTTCGACGCTGATGCATAAGGTGATCAACCTTTTCCACAAAGTGAAGCCTTTGCAACTGCCTGTCAGGTTCACCAAAACAGCAGGACATACTTTTGGAGTGAATTTTGTTCCCGAGTATGTTGGCCGAATCAAACAATAGGCAGGGGTGACTAGTCCAAATGGCTCTCCAACTTTTCGACAAGATACTAGTCCTTACTGCCTCTTTTAGCGTAAGCCTCGAGATGATTTTGGACAGAATTCCATCTGGAAGTACCCCCAGACAATCCTTTGTTCCCTAGAGGTCCAAAATAACATAATATTTAAGAGGAGAAGGAAAAAAGGAGGAAACTTTAATCTTTTGAAAAAAAAAAAAAAATTGGTGTGCTCAATGTGCATTACCGTTGTTCTGGTAGACTTTTGATGCAGTCCCATGTTGACTCCTCCTGGCCGCGCAGTTAATTTACCTGGATACAAGAGCACTTGGAATGAGAATCACAAAGTTAGAGAGGTTTGAGTGCACAAGAAAGAACGAAACAGTGGAAGCCAATATTTCAGAGGTAAATCGTGACAAGGAAACACCGAATTGTGGTTTAAAGTATAAACCAATAAAAATGAACACAAGATTCAGCTAGGATGGTTAATGTACATGAAATGAAACAGGCAACATCGAACAGTAGAAAGCTGTTAAAAAAAAAAAGAATGCAAAATTTGAATCCCAAGACTGGAGCAAAAGCTAGCGAATTTCTAATGTCTTGCAGGCCATCCCTACTTCTGATGCGGACCATCCATATTAAAATTGGAGGGGTGTAAAGAAGATGTCTTTGGGACGAGTATTAGAGCAGATGGGTTCGAGGAATCATGCGCGGAAAAAAGAAAAGGGGAAAAAAAAGGCCACCACTTGAGAGGAACAACAGCGACATTCTAAAGCCTTGTTTCAGATAAGGAGTTTATGCTTTCCTAATAAGAAGATGTAAAAGAAAAGAAAACAGTAATAATGATAACAAAAAGATAAAGAAAAAGACGGTTGAAGGCAAAAACTAGAAAGGGAAGAAGCGAAAAACAAAAAGGGAAAAAAAAAGAAGAAAAAGAATGCAGCAGAAGGAGAGAGGGGAGCAAAGAGCCATACCCGGCTTGCTTGCTCCGAAGAAATTCGAGGCGTTGAGCTGAGGTGGGCTGGCGGGACGAGAGCAGTCTGCACTCTGGGTGACGGGAGCAAATGTGCGACGCTTGGGTCCTTAGCTATGTATTGTGTAGTATTGCTGCTGCTGCTACTACTACTACTTGATGTACGTTAGCTTGTTTGGTATATGTAGGAGTACATAAGAGTCATCCAGTACAAAAATAAAAATCCAGCGAGGAAAAGGAAAAGGAGACGCTACAACTACTACTTTCTTTCTGACAGTTTCTTACTGAAGTAAGAACATTGCTACAACTACTACTTGGTGTACGTTATCTTGTTTGGTATATGTAGGAGTGCATAAGAGTCATCCAGTAACAAGCATCCTTGTTTCCCAGCGTCTCCTTTTCCTTTTCCTCGCTGGATTTTTATTTTTTATTATTTCCTAAAACCAAAAAAATCGCTGGTGTTGCTGTAGCCCAAAGTGATTTGACTTCCGAGTCTGACACGAATCCCAATTGGCAGGTATGAGCAATTTAAATTTTTTCTCCTTTTTGTTCTTTTAAGGGAGAAGGAGAGGGTGGCGCGGCCGGTGGAGTGGAGGGCCGAGTGACATAAACCATGCGCGGAGCAAAGTGAAGAGAGAAGGTGGGGGTAGTGGCACAATAATTATTTTTTTAGAAGGAAAATCCAGTAACAGAATCGAGAGCTCAACCGAGTTCCCCCCCCCCCCCCTCTCAACTTTCAACTACAGTTTTCTGCTTTCTCGTGTGGTAGTAGATACTTTTCTAACCCTCCTAGTACTCCCACTGAGTCAGGGCGGAGTAAAATCAAAGAAGAAAAATAGAATGAGGAGTGAGCGGCAGATGGTTTCGAGAATTGGAGAAACAGAAGAGAGTTGGTAAAGCCTAAGCGCAGCACCCAGGCGTCTAAATGGCGGCATCAGCCAGCGCCTATTGCTGCCTTACCACGACTACTGCTGCTGCTGCTGCTGCTACTACGACACCCGACCGCCGAATTCTTCATAGGATAAGCGTGGGACCCGCCTTCCGCATCCACTATCATCACCCCGCCACCAAATCTAGGCTCCTCACTATACGAGCTCCTCCTCCTCCTTCGGATTCACTCACCTGCCGCTGCAACAGCACCACCAAGCCCGATGTTCATGTCTTCTCAGTTACTCCTGCCACCAACTCCGATGTAGACTACCTTGGCCAGAGCACTAAAGGCGACTTGAACATCAACGTTGGTGCGTTTTCCCCCATTCTCCCCTTTTCTTCATCAAATTCTCTCTCTCCCTTAATTTTTTCTTTTAGGTGTATGTGTGTGTCCTTTGTCTTTCCCTCCTTGTTGAGTCCGCATTTAGTTCATGCCTTGGGCAGCTTATTGTCCATGATTCCAAAAGTTTTTTCCTTTTTCCCCTTTCCTTTCTTCTGGCCGCCTTCATGAAGTTTTGGCTATCGAATGCAGGAAGTGGTGGGCAGGCAGCCTTGGAAGGTCCCATCGAAAAGGTGGCCTGGACAGAAGCTCGAGATGCCGAAGACTTGCTTCAACACTTGGGCATACCGGTGATGCTACTACTACACATTACAGTGCCTCACTTGTTTGTTTCCTCCATTTTCTTCCCAAACTTTTCTTCCTTCACTTTTTATATCTCTCGCTGAATAGGAACCTACCTATGCTCCAACTTTGTTCAACGCATCAACTACATCTTGGTTGGCATGTGCACTTTTCATAGTAGAATTCATAACAACCTTCTTTGTCTTGATATCTCTTTTTGTTGATGCATTTGGTCATAAAAAATAAGTTATTGCTAATAATTATAGGGTCCATTTTCTGCTAGCAATTCTCCCCGAGGGATATTTTGCAGCCGCACGTTGAATCTACGGTCTATCAGTGCAATTGGGTATGACATGGACTACACGCTGATGCACTATAATGTCAAGGTAATCCCTCACTTTTACCATGCCAACGCTTTGCCAAATTTCATTTCATTCCTCCTTTCATGCATTTGTTTTCCAACAGTTGCTTAGCATCTCTCTCTGTTTCTCTCTACGACGGAATTGCTACTTCACACATATATACAGGGATTCTTTGAGTGACATTTGGATGCCTCTCTGACCATCGATCTTTTTGGTATTGAATACTCCTGCCATCAATTTAGACTATTTAGCAATACAAGTATGAGGAAATTTCTGTGATTCTATTAGCGAGTCATTGTAAGGTGCTTTAGGAAGCTACACTAGGCAATGCAAATTCCTTTTGCTTCGCATTCCTGCTTTAACATGGTTTAGGAGTAGTACTGAAAGTCCTATGGCTGGGAACTCCTTCTAACATGGTCTCAGGATATTCGTGGAATCTTCTGTTAACAACTCTTGCAAAATTGGAGCTTCAGTAACATTTTTCTTTGATTAATTATTTGGGCATCAAATAAATGCCCTTTGCCATTTTTCTGCTGCCTCCATCCCCACTCAAATGTTCTTGGAGAGAGTTTCAAGTGTTTAATACCCAAACAAAAAAAATTAGTATCCATGAGTTTAGACTTTTGGTCCTCTGAATTATAACTTATCAATGGATCCAAATTTGTTTCCTTTCAACGCACTCAAAAAGTAACAGTATTACATGTAACATGTTCAATAAATGGATTCAGAGGCATTATTCCGGGACAAATTTGACAAAAATGTTGACTTTCATGCTTGTGCACGCTAAATGCTGTTAATTTGTCCTGTATCCTTGTAATCTTGTTTTATAAATGTTTTGCAATGCATTTAAATACTAGTTGGATAATTGGGTTTATGCATTGTCTTCTTTATCTAACAGGCATGGGAAGGAAGGGCTTATGACTATTGTATGGTTAATCTGAGAAATATGGGCTTTCCTGTTGATGGACTTGCTTTTGACCCAGAACTGGTATAGTAGAACGTTGTATGCAGGTTGAGATGTACTGTTTATCGTAGTTCTGAGACCAATCTGCTTCATGGTTATTCAAGGTGATTAGAGGACTTGTAATAGATAAAGAGAAAGGCAATTTGGTTAAGGCTGATCGATTTGGATATATTAAAAGAGCCATGCACGGCACAAGAATGCTATCTACTCGTGAATTAAGGTGTGCTTCAAAACTTGTCCTTCTGTATTCCTTGTCATATGGGCAATACATACAGCATTGATAGATGGGTTACTGTTGGCATCTAATGCTGGCTGTTACAAGTATCTTAGACATGATACTGTGGGTTTAATATTTATTATCTTTATGAAATATTCACTCTTTAAGTTCTAATTACATGTAAAAGTACTTCCAAGGTGTTCATCTTTCCACCATATTTGATACTTGGATGTGTAGTATGCTGCAAATTTGGGGTAATATTTTGTATAGTGCCTGCTAATATTCTGTAAATGGAAGTGAGATGTATGGGAGGGAACTGGTAGATTTGCGGAAGGAGAGCCGATGGGAGTTCCTCAACACACTGTTCTCTGTTTCAGAAGCAGTGGCTTTTATGCAGGTAGGTTGCTTCCCTAAAGACAAAGTATGCTGTATGATGATGTAGGAACCTTTGCAAATGTTATTTGTTGTTGTTGCATGTATCTCCTGATTCCATTTGAGTCTGTTGAAAGATGAGGTATTCATCCTGTATTGATCCTGCTCATCACTAAAATAAAGATTTGGGGATCCACCTGTCAAACAAGAGAAAAGGACATGGAGGAAGAAGAGATGTCAACAAAGTTAAAACTAAACAACTAGTGAGAAGGATTAAATATAAAAAATGGAGCAGCTCTCTCTCTCTCTCTCACAATAAGTGTCCTTGGGGCATTCATTCTATCATTGAAGTTTGAAGTTCATGGTTCTTTTATTTTTGGTAGATATTTATAAAGTCCTTTTTATTCAGCTTCTCATAAATTTTACTTGTAAGAGATGATGTACTAACAACCTATTTGGGTGTCTTAGACATAAGTGGTAGCAGCCACCCTTTAGCCATGCTTTGGTGGTGAACAAAGTTTTAGTGGAATTGAGTTTATCAGGTTGACATTTGAAACTTAGGAACCAATTTTTTTTCAAAAACAGAAAAGATTTTTCTGCTTCCTGAAGAGCATATTATAATATGGTTGTTCTGCAAGATGCTATTCGGTAGCTTCTTGCATCTTTCAAGTTCTAAGGTCTCCTAGTAACACATTCATTATTAGTTTCAGGACTTATATTGTATTCAGCTCTGATGCAATTGTTTCAAGCTCAGCGATTGATCTGAGTTCTGAAAATTGAAATTGATGTTATTCTTCTCTCTATGGAAAAATCCCTTGGCTGTAGTATTTTTGGTCAGATTCATTCTTATCAATGTCTGGGTCCCTTGAAAATTTAGTGATACCTGTTGTTTGACTCAATTCAATAAACCCTTATTCTGTCTATTTGGGTTTTAGTTTGTGCCATCTTCAAATTTTATATAGGCGCCAGCCTTTAAACTTCCTATCTAATTCACAAGTATCTTCTGCTTCTGTTTTTAGTTTGTTTTATCTTTAGAGCAACAATAATTGATACTTGCGCCTTTCAGATGGTTGATAGATTGGACGATGGATTTATAGCAGCAGATATAGGTCCACTTGATTATAAAGGGCTTTACAAGGTTGTATGGTGGCAAAGCTTGTATGGAATGATGCTGTTTGAGTATTTTATTTTGTTGACTTGTGCACTTTTCAGGCTGTTGGGAAGGCACTCTTTAGGGCACATGTCGAAGGTCAGCTGAAGGTAGATTTCTTGTTGAAATCTTACCCCTTTTTTTTGGTACTTTGTGAGCAATCGAGCATAAATTCATAGATAGCATCCATACAGAGCGAGATAATGTCCAAGCCTGAACTATTTGTTGAACCTGATCCTGAGCTTCCATTGGCGCTGGTAGATCAAAAAGAGGTATTTATTTGGTTGTATTCTCTACAACATTTTGTTTTCATTTTTGTATATCTTCTTTTCGCATTGAAGAAACGAGACAAAATCAATTGAGAATTTTAACATGTTTGAGTTGCAAAATTTGTAAATCAGGCTGGCAAAAGGCTCTTGCTCATCACCAATTCAGACTATCATTATACAGACAAAATGATGCAGCATTCGTTCAATAGATTTCTTCCCAATGACATGAGCTGGCGTGATCTGTTTGACATGGTGGGTAGTGCCCTTGAACTATATTACAAATCTGAACTCAATTGACTTTATCTTCTTTATGACTCTTTTTTGGTTGAAATAACTAATATCCTGACTCCTATTATAAGTCACCATAGAAGACTAAGATTATCAAGTTATTAAGGAGAGGGTCAAGGTTGTTTGAATTCCACAATTCTTGCTAGTTTGTACAATTTTGTCTTTTTGGGTTAGTATTATGTCTGGCTTAATTAATACATTAGTTATTGCCAGTTTGTGACAAGAAATGAATATGCTTAACAATTAAGGCTATGAAAAGCTTGAATCTTTAAAGAATTGGATTTATTTAGCACTTTCTATTGGTTCTGTAGGTCATTGTCTCAGCCAGAAAGCCAGAATTTTTCCAGATGTCTAACCCAATGTATGAGGTAGTGACTGGTGAAGGTTTGATGCGTCCCTGTTTCAAGACTCGTCCAGGTAACTTATCCTGTGTCCATCTTACTTGTGGTGAGTGACCGAAATCATTATTATAAAGTAATTTGAAAGTTATCTGTTACGGTTCCATGGAGGTGTGTAAGACCTGCGCCCTTGTAACTATTTGAGAGTTATTTTTCTTAGGTTGTTGGTGGTGCAACCCTCTAATATGAATAAAGGCAACAGCACTCTGGATGAGTGGGCATGCGCTGAAAACTTAACTGCTCCCTCTATCCCACCTGTTTTGTTCAACAGTGCAAAGTAGTTTTATAATTTCAGGCAACAGCACTCTGGATGAGTGGGTATGCGCTGAAAACATAACTGCTCCCCCTATCCCACCCGTTTTGCTCAACAGTGCAAAGTAGTTTTATAATTTCATTCTGCTTTCCATCTTAACCCTTAATGATATTAGCTGTAAACAAATGTAGTTGGAAAATGGATGAGGCTTTGTGGGACTAATTACTTGTGTTTGATGCACTAATATCTCACCACAAGTTAAGCACGAAGTTGATGGGCCTGCCTTTCCTTTCCTATTAAGCAAATGATCAACGGTAGGAGAGGGAAGTGGATGAGAAGCTATTTGCCATACTTTCACAACAACGTGAATTTTGGGACTAACCCTAAACGAAAACGTGTTCAGACCTAGGGACTATCACCAATTATTTTATAAACTCTTTCTCCCCTTGGTATCTAATACCCCAAGCTCTAGGGTTGTAATTGAAGACCTAGATAAACCAGAAACCTACCTCTGTATCAAATTAGCTTTGAGAGAAGTTAGCATTTGCCCTATGCTATTCGACCAATTTTAACATGTACCTTTTCAGTTGTATTGAAATCATGGTTATTGATTACTTCACCTACGATCTTTTGCATTGCAAATGCAGGGGGTTGTATTCTGGAGGAAGCGCACAGATGGTTGAGAATTCACTCAATATTCATGGAGATGAGATCTTGTATGTTGGTGATCACATATACACTGATGTAAGCCAATCAAAAGTCCATCTTAGATGGAGGACAGCATTGATTTGTCGAGAACTAGAAGAAGAGGTAGTAACAATAATTTTTTATCTCGACGATATCAAATAGGTTAAATGTGACTTAGTGCAATCTGGAAAGATCGTCTAGTCTTCTAATTTTCTTATCCGTTATGAGCAGATTCATGGAAATGAAATACTCATCATATGAGGAACAATTTGAATCTTTATATAGCAGATTGTTTTCTACAATCTCCTTTATAAGTCAGTAATGTCTAGACAATAAATTGTTAGGTGTTGTTGCTTTTTGTTTATTTTCAGATATTAGTTCTTCTTTTAGTGTGCTTCTTTACATTCATAGATATGCTTTACTTTTTCTTTTTATTTTGACTATGCAGTACAGTGCTTTGATTAGGAGTCATGGTCATCGAGCAAAGTTGATAGACCTTATAAATCAGAAGGAGGTAGTAGGAGATCTCTTTAACCAACTTCGGCTTGCATTGCAGCGAAAATCCAAGGGGCGTCCTGCTCAGGTAATTTTCCCTACACACATGAATGTGCACAGCAGCGGTTTCTCCTGTTATTTAGTTTACTCATCCTTAGTTTCTGACATTGTTTAGTTTTACTTGGTCATATTCAATTTGATAGGTTATCAAGTGTCTAAACCTTATGATTTTAAACAGCTTCTGCTTACTGGCATTTAGCTACTAAGTTTGACTATATATAGTGGTAGTTACTCAACTAGATGTGGTAAAACCTTTCCTTCCGGCCAGGGAACCTGAGCTCAAAGGATAATAATGGATTCCTGGAGCTTTTTCAAGTACTTGGGTTTCCCTGAACATCTGAAAGAAATTTGTGGAAATAATTATTCAATTGGTGTTTCCGTCGCTTCCAAATATGTAACCGTCCAATCTTTTAGAGAGATTGGCAGATTGAGGATTCAATTTTTATTACTATGAGAACTTTAATATTTCTTACTTTTGCATACCTATATGTCTTTCTGTTAGTATTTCTGAGTTTGAAGGTCAGCTAACAAAGTTCTTTCTGGTTCAATAAAATTAATTATTGTCTCCATCAGACGTTGGCTGCCACCCTTATGGACGACAAAGAACTCACAGATAGCATGCAAAAGTTGCTTGTTGTAATGCAAAGGCTTGATCAAAAAATTGCCCCGATGCTGGAAGCTGATGGGGAACACTTCAACAGAAGGTGATTTGGAAAGCCATCAGTTAGACTTACTGTCCATGTAACCTTGTGATATGTCCCAAAACTTTTTGCATTCTTTTGTTTACAAGTCATGACTTTACTAGCTAGAAGTATTTGCTTGGCAGCAAATTTAGTGTTTTCAGAAGGTTGTGGAAGTCAGTTTTAAACACGAGTTGTGACTTGGATCTCCATTTTACCTTGGCTTTTGGTGGCCCCTTGCACCTATTGAGGCTTTTTCTTCATGCGTTTTGGGGCTTTGTTTTACCTTGGATCTTGGTGTCCTTTGCACTTGCTGAAGCTTTTTTTCATGCGTCTCTGCAATTTGGTGAATTTGGAGTTAAGCCATGCATAGCTAATCTTCTGTGCCTTCGACTTTTCAGATGGGGTTTTCTTTCACGTGCTGGTCTGTGGGACAAAAGCCACTTAATGAGGCAGATTGAGAAGTATAATATATATATATTTTTTAAATCTGATATTTGACTTGTGATTGTTTGCGAGTAATTGAAGCTGAAAGTTTTCGGATGTTAACAACTTCGTTTCTTGCATTGTATGTAGGTATGCTGATATTTACACCTCTAGAGTTTCAAATTTTCTCCACTACACACCTTTCATGTACTTCCGGGCCCAGGAACAGGTACTTGAGCAAATTTTGTTTGGACTAGTTTGCTGGCTTTTGGCAGGATGAAAAGCTAACTAAATGATTTTGAAGATCCATATATTTACTCAAAGACTGATTAATTTGTTCAAAATGGAATCTGACCAGTGCATTTGTTAGCAGAAATGCTTATAGTTTATGTATCCTGTTTCTTAATGGATTTTAGAAATAAAAGGGAATAAAAAAAGAAAAAAGAAAAAAGAAAAGTAGCGTCTGCTGTTCTTATCACATTTTATTCCAGTTGAGTTGGGAAGTGCAGTGATTTTACTCTCTCTCTCTCACATAGTTTGCTCATGGGCATGTCTGACGCGCTGATGTTTGATCTCCTGGTGCAGTCTCTTGCTCATGATTCATATTCATTCCGTCATCTACAGATTGATAGATCAGCTGATGACAAGAACAACGCCTTTCCTAAGTAGCTTTTTTCGACTGGTTATGATGTTTCAAGAAAAACGATACTAAGAAGGAAATGGATTTGAGATAATGATGTTGTATTGAGGTTAGTTGTAGCCTGTAGGGTTTGCTTTGGAAGGACCATGGCCAGGTTCAGAAGAGGAAACTGCTGTTTCCACATACTTGTTCACGGGCTTTGCTGGGAGGAGACTGGATAAACGCGGGTTTCACTTGTTTGCGATTCTTGAATGGAAATTAATACAAATTTAAGAAATGTATTTACGAGTTGTCCACATGACATGATAGTAGGTTGCTCGAGGGCAAAGAACTGATTTGCCTTCAAAGCAAATTTAATAGGGACTTGCTGAAGTAGTCCAACACGTCATTGTCCGCCAAACAGGCATATATATGCCTATTCTAGTTTCAAATCAACCAAGAACAGGCATTCATATATGCCTATTCTAGTTTCAAAAGAACAGGCATTCTTACGCCAAACAGGCGGATGCGTCATGCAGAGTGGATTCTTCTCCCAGATGGTCAATACAATGAATCGTCTCGTTTATAACATCTCACAACTGATTAAGTTATTGATCTGAAAGAAGCCTAGCCAGAGATAACATATCTTACGCAATAGAAACAAAGTGTCAAAAACACGGCAGTTTACATCTGCCTATACTACGATGTCTGCCAAAGCTACTTGTAGGAGCGTCAGCCGGTGGATGCAGGTGTTCTGGTTTATACTTGATGGCGACCAAACAAAGCCCCTGAGGCGGAACTGAGAGCGCAAATTTTGCAAGTTCCTTGCGATCACGAGATGCCAATATCATTGGAACAATATCAGACGGAACAGCTTCCATTCCAACTTGAAGTAACAAAGCAACCTATAAGATAAAAGGCAGTTTTAACTAAGTAGTATGCTATCGTTGAGTATCCTTCTCAGATGATCAACATCTGTGGTTAAGCGGTTTTTTATTGTCTTATTAGTTATCCCAGGGAAGACCGGCACTGAGCACAATTATATACTTCATTTAGCTTGAGAGGGTAACTGAGTTGTGCCTACCATGTTCCGAACTTGTCTATACAGAAAACCAGTTCCTTCCACTTCAAGCTGCAAAAGGTGCCCCTGCAGTAAAAATTGCTCAATAACAATATGCTTTTCCACGCTACTAGTTTCTGAAGGAAAAAGATAGAGATGGATAGGTAGGCTGCAGTTCTATCCAATTCGGGTCTACAAACATAAACTTCTCTGGTTTCGGGATAAAGACCGCACGTAGGCAATATATACCTCTGTTAATGAACTTGATTTGACCACTAAAGCAAGAAAGAAATCGTGACTCAGGGTTTGCTCTCCAAAAGGATAGCAACTTCTTATACTTGAAACATACCATTTCAATAACATCAAAGCGAAATATTATTTTCACTGGATCCGGCACCCTGTCATTGCGTGATCCATTGGCAAAGGCAGTAAAGTCATGTCTCCCAACAAAATGCTTAGCAGCATCCCTCATGGTATCAGGGTTGAGTTTATACACACTTGGAAAAGCATAGTGCCTCTGAAATGGATCCATGATGGCATCACAGTATATCTTGTAGTGATAAATCTTACTTGTGACAGAAAACCGAGCATGAAATTCAGGTATTGCAGCGCCAATTTCTCTAATTCTGATGTCTGATGGAAGAAGACCATTTAATGCTTTGTGAACATCATCCAGGTTGGCAAGGTTAAAAGGTGTAATGAAGTGTGCCACCTGAAAGTGGCAAGAAATATTTTCAAACTACCTATCCGGACTATCTCTCAGTTATTCTCATTTTAACGGCATGGACACAAACCTGGCCCCAGGCATGAACCCCTGCATCAGTTCTCCCTGCACCAACTAAATGAAGATTTTCTCGCTCTAGTTTCGTAATTTTGGTTAAAGCTTCTTCAAGATAACACTGTATGGTTGGTGTTGACCGCTGGTATTGCCAACCTAGAAAATTAAGCACAACAAAAGCAGACTTGAAAAGGGGCTGTGAAATGAGTGACTACAGAATGAGTTAACCAAGTCCTTTTAGCCTTACAGAAAACACAATCTTTGGAATATGAACTTGCAGCTGAGTAAAGAGAGACGACCGTGCTAGGAATTTCATCATGAACACTATTTACAAAGACAAATAGCAAGGGTTTGAAAGATAACAGATAAAGCAATGCAGAATACTTGTCATTAACAAGACAAAGAAATGGAGAAACCCAATATATATAATAACACCAAATGTGTATAGTTATTTGCTTAAATTTTCCATGCTTTAAATCCATATGCAGATGATGAAATTTCAAAGCCATTTCAAGAAAAAGTAAGAAGCATTCCTTTTTACCAAAGAGAAGCATCCAATTAGCCAAAAGAATGAAATACAATTTTCCACTTACAAAAAAACTTAATTTAAAAATAATCCCCCTGACCAATTGAAATAATATCACATTAATTGCAAACTCGTATCACAAAAAAAATAAACCCCAGCAGGCCATCAAGTAAAAAATAGTAAAACCTGAAAAACGGGTGCCATCATAAGCAATAACCAAGCGCCACTTGTAAGCTGGTAGGTCAAAAGGACTGCTATTAGCATTGTCTTCATTCCAATCACACCAGTTCTGCAATTAAATTACCAGTAATAACTGAGGCCCTTTCAGGAACCCATAAGCATTGCTAAACCACTACTCATTTCAGGCTGTGTCTCCACATATCTAAACACACACACTCCAAGTATACATGCACATAGAGGAAACTACAACAGCTACACTTAATAGAAGGGAGGGATTCACCACTGAGATTAGCAAATGAAGGAACCCCAACAGGTGGATCTGCAGCCACCACCGCAGCATATAGCTACTTCTTCAGTAAAAGATGAGACTTGTTGTTAACATGATTGAATTCTCAGAACCCAAAAATAGGAACTTATGTTCTAATATTGTGGCTCCACACTCGTATCTTAAGCTTACATGCAATGGGTACTGTATGCAATAAGAGGATAAATTGCCTGAGCATCCTCTTTTAACCTTGAGTTACATATTTACTTTAGATTCTTCAAACAGATATCATATCCATCTACTATAAAGTGACAACAATTTATGCTGCAATTCTCATGGTACGGTACAGCAACACACAGTGAATTGGAACTTTATATAAGTCAAAGAACCTGTCCAGCAAGAAGTACTATCAGAAGCTCACAAAGCAAGCGTCTTGTCCAGTATATTACATGTCCACCATATTAATAGTGACAGTAATGACATGTGATAAGTATGAATGATAATAATTTCAATGTAAATTTAGGGCCATCAACTCTACAACTCCCCACCACAACCTCCCTCACAAAACCCCCGAGAGAGAGAGAGTTTGTCAGAATTACACAGCACTAGACCTATTAGTGAAGGGAATTACATCCCTTCTGCTCTGCTCTAAGTTAAAAATCACAGGCATCCACTTCTTAGCAGGAGCTTTTAGCGGGAGTAAAGAAACATAAACCAAGTATTGTACATCATAATCCTGTGCGGACAGAAACCTTTTCATGCAACCAATTGAGCCTCCTCACTTTCAGGAACTACTATGTCAAGCCTCATCATTGGCTTGTATCTCTCAGGAACTTGAGCTCCTGCTTGCATACAGACCTCAACTACAGCTGGTGCCTTGCCATAGAACCTCTTTAGCCCTCTCCTCATAGGAGGCCCTTTTGGATCTCGAACATGCCACACATAATTTGGGGGAAACACTTCATCAACCGTGGCATCCTGCCAACCATGTTTTCCATCCCTCCACTGATGTTTAAATTCACCACAGAGCTTGGCATTATGGCCCCAGGGCCCCACATGGACCTCTGAACAGTACCCACAAGCCTTCACGGTATACTTCTTCATCAACCTATTCACGCCCCATTTGACCTTCTCATACGCATTAATAGTCTCCTGTGCAATCTTAGGTACCTCCGATATGTCTGGAGGAGGAAAGCGCTCAAGACTCCTATGTGTGTCAAGGTCGATAACTTGTGACTTTCTATCTACATGCTTTTCAAGTTCAGGCTCTTCAACAAATCCACCTCTGTCAATCACCTTTTTTCCAATCATCCGGACAGGTTGAGTCCTCCTCCGTGAAGGAAATTCAGGTAAATCAACGCCAGCTTGGATGCAAAGTTCAACAACTGCAGGAATCCGGTCATAATTAAATCGAGTTTCGTGCTTAATGCGCCTACCAAAGGGATCATACATATGGTATGACTCAATTGGGAGGAGTACATCATTGATAGACCCTTCACCCACGAGTGGAAGCCTTTTCGACTTCCACTGGTTGAACCATGACAATCTTGAATGTCATGACCCACTTGGGCTACATGAACTTCTGAGCATTCACTGCAATGGAAGTGCTAAAATTCAACTTCCACTTATATGCAAGTTGGTGAATAAACTAGTACAAAACCAAGAAGATGTAAAGATACACCACTATCAAATTTTATACAACAAATTACCTACAAGCATGGATAGGAACAGTGTGCAAGATCTGTGTGAGTCCTCTAATCAAAATTCTCCAAGCATCCAGTACTTCATAGGCAACAGGAATTAGATCAGGCACAAGCAGTCCATTTTTTGGAGGCTCAAGAGGTTTCTCCATTCCCATAGCTGCAAGCTTCTTATCGGCTCTGGCAGCCTGTAGAATATTCTTTAAAGGTATTGGATATGGCTTCTTCTTTTTCTTAGGCAATACTGCTGGAAGATCCACATTTTGAGGTACACGCTCACGTTTTTTAGGCCTAGAGCCTTGACGAGGTCTTTTACCAGTGCAGAGGACAGCGGCAGATCTTCTTGAACAATTAACACGGTGACATTCATTGCTAAACTGCAGCTAAGAACCAAAGCCATTAGCTTTTAGGCTAACTACATGAGATTACATATTGATCGGAGGGATGTTTCTCAGTGATCAGAAGCTTTTTAAGATAAGGAATCAAAACCCAAGACTTTAGGTCAACCTGATGAAATACTCCATATATCCACGGGCTTGATGAGAAAGAAATCAAAGAATACATCCCAACCAGTGTCGAGACATAAACTAAACTGCAATCAAAAGAACCAACAAGCGAAAGAAGGATAACAGCCTCCAATTTAAATGCCATTACTTGGACTTCAAAGAAATTAGGAACCCAACATACCCCTAGTTTGAAGCACTTGGTTAAAATTGTCAGAGACGCCCGCAGAGGGACGCTTTCTTTAAACGTTATGTCACCAATGATCAGAACTATATACCGGCCATCATAGTTGTTCATGGTAGAAAACTGGAGAAGTAAAGCTTCGACAGTCCATTTAATTTAACACATAGACATATTAGTATATCGATCAACATTTTTCAATGCAAAGTCAAAATCCCAGACTGATGAATCTGAGTGGCATCCCTCTATAAAGGTTAAATTAGTACAAGATGAGAAATAAAATCATGCTCGCCTAACAAGACTTTGACTGAAAAAATGCCAACTCCAGAAAGGGGAAGCATTTTGAAATCCAGACTAGTTGAGCCGATGAGACAGCAGATTGTAAAGTTAGTTAAAAATCACAAGCGAAGAGTCATATACTACTACTAAAGAAAACAACTTTCCACGGACAGAAAGATGCCGTTCACTAGCAATGGGTAAAAGTGAGTAGATGTGAATGGTAGAGAATAGGAAAAGAAACACATGCCGAGGCGGCAAGGAACAGCTGAGAAAGAAACCTTGGGTCCTGAAGAGAAAGCGCTTAAAACCGGTAGCGGAGGCCTTTTACAATCTCTCAAGCAAAGGAAAGCACCTGGGTAGTATAAACAGAGAGGAAAATCAACAACGAGCAAAGATTGATATACATGAACAGAAACACATACTACAAACTAACTAAACAGAAGAAAGAGATGGCAGAGGAACTCAGTATTTACTTTGAACATTTTGAAACGGAGGAGGAAATGAAGCAGCTCCAGATGAAGGTAAAGATGGAAACTGCTGCAGAAGTAGAAGCATTTTTCTCTGGAGGTGGGGGGCTCTGCAGCAAATTGGAGAAGAAAGAAATGGAGTCGGTTTTTTTTTAAATTTTAAAAGAAAAACAAAAAGAGCAGGCAAACACACCGTAGTAACAATTATGACTCACATACAGCTAAGTACAAAAAGATATTATTGTCCACCGAGTAGCCGCCGGTGGCGGGAGGGGGGCGGTTGGTTGTGGTCGGAGAAAGGTGTGGCTATTGTTGGAGTATATGGCTGCTACAGTCTCCTGAGGCTTGTGATGGTAGCTGCAACGGAAGACTGGTAAAGGGGCCGGGTCCAGCCCAAGGCAGTAGTATAGTAGTCCTAAACTATAATATCAAAAGACATTTACGCATACGCATATGGTTTTAGGGTCAACTATTGGGTTGGGGTGGGTCGTCGCGACTCAATGGCAGCTATGCTCTCTCTCTCTCTCTCTCTCTCGGTCTCTCAAATCTCTCCATTTATGCCTTCTTTCCCAGAGGCTTGGTGTCATAGCTTAATGTAGGCTGTGCTTTCTTTATATATAGATATAGATTTTTTCCACTCTCGCGACTCTACCACAGAAATAAAGAACGAGACATTAGATATTATCACGAGGAGAATTCACAAGTACAGAAGGCAAGCAAGGCAAGGCAAGGCCCCCTCCAAACTCCTCAACTTTTATAGTCAATAGTCATTTTTTGGTTTAATTGTTGTACTAGAAACTCTTTGCTTCTTAATGCCGGTGGAGAAACTGTAACAACACTTACCCTCTTCCTCTGCCGTTCTCTCTTCTTCTCTGCATGCCGGTGGAGGAGCCCCCTACCGCTCTAACCACATCCCATTACTCTGGTGCGTATGCCCTCCTCCTTTTGCTTCAACCATAACAAAGACCAACCCAAAAAAAAAATCTTTTTTTTGGGCTTTTAGGAGACTAAATTCCAAGGATAAATTCCTCATGGTTAATTATGCATTTCATATTAATTGTTCAAGCAATTCCATAGTTGTTTTTTTCTTTGTGATTGTTGAGTACTATTTCCGATTATTCCTCCCTTTAGGGCTCTCTCCTGTTTCTCTCTCTGTAGAATATAGGTTTTGGGGATTGCTATAATTCTAAGTGCTATTAGGGCTTCGCTTCTTGTTCTTCACCTCTCCCACCCCCAACCGTCGTGTTGTACGGTCAATTTTTGTTCCAAAGCTATAAATTTTTCTAGTTTTTGTTCCAATGTAGGTGAATTTCCATGCCACTAAAATCAATTCGCACTTAGAAGCTAAACTTAGCCATATCACTCCTCTCCAAGATCCCCCCCCCCTTTGTTTTGGGGTTCGTCTAAACTGTACCTTTTGTCCTCGTAAGAGTTATGTCCGCCAAAAAAATTATAGCCATATGCCAATCTGGAGGCGAGTTTGCCACCAATAAAGAGGATGGCTCCCTGTACTACACTGGTGGAGAGGCCTATGCTCTGGACCTCGATCAGCAGACTCTCTTGAAGGATTTCAAGCATGAACTTTCTGAGACCTTTCAGTGCAGTGTTGACGGAATGACCATTAAGTACTTCCTCCCGGGAACAAGAAGACCCTCATTACCATCTCTAAAGATAAGGACCTCAAGCGCATGGTCAACTTCTTCAAGGATTCTGACCAGGTCGAGGTTTTTATCATTGCTGAGGAAGCTGTTGCGCGCAACGTATCCAACATGCCTGCCAGTAGGTAATTACCACCATTTCAAGCTTGTTTATCCTTTTCTTTTTCCTTTTTTTTTCGGTGCTCTCGTTGTTCTTGGAATGAACACTTGAATTTTATTCCGTCCTAATAACAGTTATGGCAACTGAATACAATGTAGTTTATGTGGTAGCTTGCTCGCTTTATGAGTATGCAGGTCAAGCAGGACTACTGTGTCCGAGGCCGTGGTTCCTCCTGGCGGCTCTCAGGATTTAATTCATGCTCATGATCAGCCCATTGATATGGAGGAGCCAATCGATACTTCTCCACTTGACATTTATGACGAGAAGCATCGTAGAGCTGCAATTCAGTGGGAGAATACTATCACTGGTGTTGACCAAAGATTTAATAGCTTCCCTGAATTCCGCGAAGCTCTGCATAAATACTCCATTGCGCATGGATTTACTTACAAATATAAGAAAAATGACAGTCACCGTGTGACTGTCAAATGCAAATCCGAAGGTTGCCCTTGGAGAATATATGCGTCCAGATTGGCCACCACCCAGCTCATCTGCATCAAGAAAATGAATGCGAAGCATACTTGTGAAGGAACTTCGGTAAAAGCCGGTTATAGAGCAACAAGGGGATGGGTTGGAAATATCATCAAGGAAAAATTGAAAGTTTCTCCAAATTACAAGCCTAAGGATATTGCTGTGGACATAAAGCGTGAGTATGGCATTCAATTGAACTACTCGCAGGCATGGCGTGCCAAGGAGATTGCCCGTGAGCAGCTTCAGGGATCTTATAAAGAGGCCTACTGTCAGCTACCCTTCTTCTGTCAAAAGATAATGGAAACAAATCCAGGTAGTATTGCTACATTTGCGACAAAGGAGGACTCCAGCTTCCACAGGCTCTTTGTCTCGTTTCATGCATCAATATCTGGTTTTCAGCAAGGTTGTCGGCCTCTTATTTTCCTTGACAGCACTCTTCTGTACTCAAAGTATCAAGGCACATTGTTGGCTGCAACATCTGCAGATGGGAATGATAGTGTCTTTCCAGTAGCCTTTGCTGTTGTTGATGAAGAGACTGACGAAAATTGGCATTGGTTTCTGTCGGAACTCAAGTCTGCTGTCTCAACATCCAGGCAAATCACCTTTATTGCTGATTCCCAGAAAGGAATAAGAGAGTCATTACGCGATATATTTGGTGAAGCCTGCTATCATGGTTATTGCCTACGCTATCTAGCTGAGAAACTGAATAGAGATTTGAAGGGGCAATTTTCACATGAAGCAAGACGACTCATGGTCCAGGATTTGTCTGCTGCTGCCTATGCACCAAAACTTGAGGCATTTGAACGCTGTGCGGAAAACATAAAGGCCATCTCACCTGAAGCTTACAATTGGGTCATACAAAGTGAGCCAGCCCACTGGGCAAATGCTTTTTTTGGTGGGGCAAGGTACAACCATATGACATCCAACTTTGGACAATTGTTCTGCAGTTGGGTATCAGAGGCTGATGAGTTGCCAATAACTCAGATGGTTGATGTCTTACGAGGTAAGATGATGGAATTGATCTATACACGAAGGGTTGATTCCAGTCAGTGGACTACAAGGCTCACCCCTTTAATGGAGGAAAAACTTCAGAATGAGGCTTCAAAGGCAGCACCATTTCAAGTATTACTGTTGCATGGCAGCACGTTTGAAGTTCGTGGTGAGTCTGTTGATATTGTTGACATTGATCATTGGGACTGTAGTTGCAAAAGATGGCAGCTCACAGGATTACCTTGCTGCCACGCAATTGCTGTTTTTGACTGCCTTGGTCGGAGTTCGTATGATTATTGCTCAAGGTACTTCACCACTGAGAGTTATCACTTGACGTACACAGAGTCGATTAACCCAGTACCAAATGTTGAAAAACCTGTTAATGGTGAGTTGGAAGGAACTGCTGTTATAGTAACTCCACCACCAACTAAACGCCCGCCAGGCAGACCCAAGATGAAACAGGCTGATTCCCTGGACGTAATCAAACGCCAGCTCCAGTGTAGCAAATGCAAGGGTCTGGGTCACAACAAAAAGACGTGCAAGTATGTCTCTGAAGGAAACTTGCTTCAGCTTGTGATTATGTGACACTGGTTACTTGTGCTGGTGATTTGTTGAAGTAGTACAAATTTTCCTGTAATCTTTTACTTGTCTCTTTACTTATTTGACCTTGTGATTGGAATCTTTTGCCAGAAGTTCATGCCATGACATTGATACTCTCTTTTTAGTCCAAATGATGTTCCGTCTTGGTTTTATATCTATGCCCAGTCATTGCTTTAAACTCGTGAGTACATGTGTGTCTGTTTCAGATGGTTTTGTGCAGATACACTTTCCCCATGCCTTTAGTGTCAATGCATACATATCTAATTTTTGTCTTGCTCGTTGTAGCTACCAGTATTAAGACTGGTGTTAGAATCAGACCACTGAGCTTCATCACAGCCTCCTTGTCATGTGAGATTTGATATCACCTTTATAAAAAGTATGCTTCATTAAAAATAAATTTAGGACATCTGAAAAATAACTACATTACCATTTCCTGCAGTACCTCTATAGTCTAGCTACCTGAGTCAGACTCGCGGCTTAAGTAACATGTGCCTTTTAAAGTCCACTATGCTTATTTAGAAAACAAAGCATGGTTAACTGCATTATTAGAAAGTGAAAGAATGTGATTTCCTACTTGCTAATGATTAGGATAGTGTAGGAAGAGAATATGGTCATCTTCTAGAAGAGGTACAGGAAAAAGTAAAAAGAATATTGGCAAGGATATAGCCTTCTTTGCTGGCATCTGGAAAAAGAGTTTCTTTTGATGGACATCTGGAGTAGACTTTTGTATGTAAGCACGACTGCAGTTTTAGAGTTTCTTTTCCATTGTTTTGATCTCTATTGTCTGCCTCTGATGTAAAAGTTGTCGTGCAGGAATTCAGTTAGAATGTAAAAATGTGTTTGCGTGTGTGTGTATTTTGGCTGAGATTTGGTTGGTTTGGGCTCTGTGGTACATGTCGAACATCTTTACCTCTACTTCTATTGCCTATCTAAGGAATTTATGAAGTGCCTCATAATTAAGCTTGTGCTACTGTGAGATGATTTTGCAATATAGAAGGCATCAGTTTCTGTGTGGTCTAATTGTACTATGACATTGTCATCTGTATTTCTAGTTGTGGCTTGTGGCTGCATGACATGTTTTCTGATTTTCCTGTTTTGAATTTTTTTTCTGAAACAGCAAGCACAATGCTGTAGATAACGATGTGCAAGAAACTCATCTTCTGACAGCCATATCAACTGAAGAGCCTGAAGGAAGCACATGAGTTTTGGCTTTTCTTCTTTTCCAATGTAATTAAACTGCTGATGGACTTTGATCTCTAGATATGTCAGGTTTAATGAGAGTCAATGTGGTAGAACTGCAATCTTGAAGTATGCAGATGGACAATGTAGTTAGTTTGGTGAAGGATTTGTTCATTTAAAGGGATGAGTTTGTTGGCCTTTTGTTACTTGATGATAAGTTAGGAAGGTGTTATTGTTAGCAGCAGCAGTCCCAAGTGTACAAGGAGAAGTTGATGATTGGTTCTGAGAGGGAAGGGTTGAATTATCTATCGAGGTTCTCTAGTCATGTCACATGTGGTCGTTGATTTAGTTTCTGACTTGTAGGAGATTCATGAATGCTCATGCCGTAAAATCCTGTTCTACTTTTTGGCAGGTGTTTAAGCTGAAACTCGTGATTGTTGCTCTGGGAGTCGGCAAAAATGGTCACCGTTTAATTAATGGGAGTCAGAGGAATGTTAGCATGGAGCACCGTTATCTTCTGTTTTTGTTGTCTTAGTCATTTGCCCTGTTGATGTTCTTTGACTTCTTTGCAAGTTAGATTGGTAATCTATTTGCGACGTTTTTTTGTTTTTGGGTTTTGGTGGGGGGTGGGGGTGTTGGGTGTTTGTTGAAGAGCTAAAGCTCCAAACCACACGGTACAAGGCAAGGGGTGGTAACCCCTGAAACATCCTCCATGAGAGCAGCTGTCTTATGGCATCTGGAGGGTTCTTCTAACATTTTCCTCCTCTAACTCTGCATAAACGCTACATTTGGCTAGGCAGTCCTCCCAATTGTTTCGCATCTAATAGGGTATTCAGCATTGATATATTTTATACGCCACTTCTTAGTTTCTTGGAGACCTCTATTAATGCTGGTGATTGTCATCTAGCATCAAGTACATTCGCTGAATATGCAAGGAACTAAGTAGAATTATGATATTTATGCACCCTTTCAGAGAGCAAGGGAGGAAGCAAATTAAAGCAAGCAGGCATGAAGAAAGAGATAATCAACCTTGAATTGAATGTACAGTCTTGGTCAAAAAAAATAAAAAAAAAATATATATATATATATACAGTCTTGGTCGGGCAGCTAGCTGGCTGGCTAAGGATGGAAGCAACACATGTGGCAGTAAGATATGGAGAATGAAGTAGATGTTAGCCACGTAGCTTGCCACCTATCTATCTTCCGATGGGCAAACCGCCTCAATTTGCGATATACCTTTCCTCGTCTACCACATTCTTCACTCTACCACGCATATCTATATGTATAGATCCTTGAAAAAAGGTAAAAACCCCCTACGTGCGGATTGTGCTGTTGTTGGCATGCTATTGATCTGTTCGTGAGACTGCAAAACAAATCCATTTTAGTTAACCCGCTTGCAGTCCCGGTCGGGCTTGTCCTAGCAACTAGCTCGCAGTTTATATCTGTATATAACGGGTACGCACATACCCGAAAAGGTTAAACCAAACAGCTGAGCTGGTGTATTATGTTACACTTCAAAATTCTGAGCGAGGACGTGTGAACGAGAGAATGGGTATCTGCCGGAGTGGAAGAATGGCTTCCAAAAGAGGTTCTGCGATCATGATGCAGCACAGGAACTGCTCCTTTGTTCTTGGACTCGGGTGGTGGTGATCACGCTAATTGCGGCAGTTGCTTGCACCGAGAACGACCCCCCCAATTCCAATTCCAATTCCAAATATGAGGAGGCCAAGGTGAAGATCGAGCATGCAGCGGGGACGGGGAAAGAGGGTGCGGAGTCATGGGCAGAATGGGCCAAGGACAAGATCTCTGAAGGCTTAGGATTGGGCACCGACAAGGCTAAGCAAGCTTCTGATGCGGCCACGGATGCTGCTAAGAAAATCAAAGATAGGATTAAAGACTCTGCTTCTGGTCAGTGGTACCATCCATTGCGTACCTTAATTCTTTTGACGTCAAATTACGTACAGTTTATTACAGCGTCATGGAAGAGTTATTTATTTATTTAAAAAAAAATCTTTTCAGCGTAAAAATGATCTTCTTGCTCGATCTGCTGCAGGTGCTGGACAGTACACTGCCGAGAAAGTTGGAGAGTTAAGGGATGCAGCCACAGAAAAGGCTAAGGATTCCAGGGAAACAGCAGCGGAAAAGGCAGAGGAGGCCAAGGAGAAGGCGGCTGAGAAGGCAGAAGCAGCCAAGGAAGCAGGTGCAGAAATGGGAAAGATGGCGGCGGAAGAAGCCAAGCAAGGGTACGAGACCGCCAAGCACAAAGCTGCTGAGGCCATTGACTCCAATATGCAGGCTGCAAAGGAAAAATCTCGCCATCTGAAGGATGAAGTTGCTGCTACTCGTGACGAGGAGCTCTGATCTGATGAGAGAGATCAATCACAACACGAGAACCATGCCATTGCCACTTGTGGAATGCCACCACCGAGTCGTTCTATTCCACTACGTAATTATGTATAATAAATACTCGGTCGTCTGTCAGTGTCAGCAGCCACTACTCCTCGTAACGAAATACCAGACTGATGGACGAGTGATTATTCCTCTCCTCTCTCTCGTTTCCTTTCTATTTTTTAGGTAGGGTACTTTGGATCTGGAATTTGTTGTGCTATCCTTTTTTTTTTTTTTATTATTATTACTAGTATTTGTATGAATATGCATGGTCATGACTGGATATTACTTTGGGTGGTCTTGTTTATTGACCGATATTACTAGTATTTATAACATTTTATCTATCTATCTCCTAAGTCCTAACCTAATGATGATTCTTGAACGAAAGTTTGTAATTATTTTTTTTGGCGAAAGAGCATGATGAAGTAGTAGCTAGCTAGCATCTTTTCAGCTGAACGGTATTAATTTTGTGCTTTTAGAAAAATATGTATATATTTGTAGCTAGCTAGGAACCCGATACAAATTACCTCTCTCTGTCTCTGTCCTGATGTATATTCCACATTTGTATATTCATCGTTTCTTCTAGAATCTCAAGTCAGAGTTGGTCATCAAAATTGATTTTGATGTATGACTAAACATCAAACGCAACTCAAAAAGGAATCCTACGTATCTTTGATTTACTACTGTGGCTGGCTCAACAATCAGAGATACGGAAACAATTCCCTATCTCAAAAAGGGGGCAAAAAAAATAAAAGCAAATCTTATTGTGTTCGTCTCTGGAACTGGAAGTGGATGCTTGACTAGTAAGTACGGTATTATGTTTTCTTGAATTCGACCGCCTCTCGATCGCTCTTCTCTGTGTCACACGAAAATGAAAATGAAAATGAAAACTGCCTGCTTCTATTCTAGTAGTCTGGCACAAGAAGGTCCACGTTCAAAAGTGGGTCGAATTAATATATACACACGAGTACGCTACTTACAACAACGCGAATGATGAGTGATGCGACTGCGACTGCCAAAAACCGCGTCCGAGCTGAGCTGATGCGGCCGACCTGGTTGGACAAATCGAGCTGGGGCCGGGCTAGGTGACCTGAGAAGAAAGAACGGAGGCGGGACTGATGTCCCTGAGATAACTCCGACGGTCAAGTTAGTTTGGCCGTAGAAGGATATAGTAATAGTAGAGAATACTTGTCAGCGTACCTTGCGTAACCTTGGCAGCGTAGTATATATAGGACCGGAGGAGGGATAGTTTCCTTATAGGAGTCAAAATCCCCTTAGGGTTCGGAGTCTTCTTAGGGTTTCATGCGGCGGCCCCTACATGTTCGGAGGCGGCAGCCCATCAAGCCCATCACAGGAGGCTCCCGACACACCGAGCTGGCTTTCTTATGCCGAGCTGGCCCGTGCCAGCCTCGAGGTACCTATGGCCGACCTGCCGCGTGTGATCTGCCGACCTGACACGTGTCATGCGCGGATTTGCCCCACTACACTAGCCCCCCTTGAGTCTAGAGTCACCGAGGGGTCGCGTGAATTTAGACCAAATTTCGAGGCGCCAGGTCTGCCAGGGATGGGACCCACGATCCCACGACCGTGCACCTTGCCCAAGTAACTGCCACGCATGTTGTCATAACCGTCACTACAAAGATCACGTCCTCTCATGATGACGGTTGTCAGTTCGAACGTTTTTCCAAGATAACCGTTCAGTAATAAATTCAAATTCTCAACTCGGGGCTCTTCGGCTTCCCTCCCAGGGGCCTATAAATAGGCCCTACAACACGTCACTTTCACACTTCCTTTCTCATTTCTCCTCCTTCGCAAATTCTACCAGCTCGCTCCCTATCTAGAGAGCTCCAGAGTAGCGCTTTACCTTAAGCACCTACCAGCTCCCCATCCACTAGTAAGTCTTCTTTTCCCTTTTATGTCTTCTTCCTCCACACACTCAGACATCACCAGCTCGGCACCTAGGCGTAGAGTAGCCCGACCTGCACCTATAGAGATAATCTCTTCCTCCTCTAGCTCTTCTTCTTCCAGCTCGTCAGAGTACCTACCTTCCCCATTCATTCTCCTGCCTTAGAGATGAACCAACCCACCCAACCTGTCCGGCCTGACGCTGGGGCTGCCGACCTAGGGATTCCCTAGAGGTAATTCCAGCTCGGACCAGGGCGGGACCTTCCAGGGGGCCGGACATCGACTTCGGGAGGTCGAGCTCATCCCCCCTATCCTAGACCAGGGAGGTGTCGACGAGCTGGTAGGGAGGTATGACATCCTCCTCCAGTTCGAGCTAGGGCCGCCCGACCAGGGGAGTATGCTTGCCGACCTCCTTCTGAGTTCGTGGCTATCTACAGGGATCAGCTCGTAGCTGGTCTCCGTCTTCCCATTCCCCAATTCCTTTACCAAATTCTAACCTTCTGGGGAATTCGCATAACCCAGCTCGTTCCAAACGCCATCAGATCGATCCTCGGCTTTTTCATTATGTGCCGAGTCCTCGAAATTCCATACTCCCTAGACCTTTTCAGGTCATTTTTTCAGATGAAGGTGAGCGGGCCAGTTCATGGCTGGTTCTATTTTGCTCGCAGGAGCGGGGGAGAACTCCCAACCCGCGAGCTGTTCACTCACACTCCCTCTTCCATTAAGGGCTGGAAAGCTCAGTTCTTCTATGTGAAGAACACGGGTTTTCCTCCCTTGACCTGGAGGGAGGAGACCCAGGTGTCCGACCCCATTCCTTCACCTCTTCCTGCGGCCGAGCTGGACCTCCTGGTCAGCTCGGATGCTCGGTTATCGGTGAAGGAATTTAGCAATGCCCAGCTCCGGTCGGCGGGGCTGCTTCGAGCAGAGGTGAACGACCATGCGCCTGACCTTCGCCCCTCACCCCGGAGGAGCTTATAGCTTGTAATCTCTTTGATCTTTCTTTCCTTGCTTTCCCTTCTTTTTCTTTTTTCTTTCCGTCGTACGAACTGACCTATTTCTTTGCTCCAGTGAAGAGGTTCTCCCAGCTATTGAACATAGAGGGACGGGCAGCTCGGCACACCTACCACGGTGCCTCCTCTGCCCTGGAGCGTGGCTCCTCCCCCACCTGAGCCCATTCCTCAGACCGCAGCTCAGTCTGCCCCAGCAGAAGAACCCAAAAAGAAGAGGAGGAAGACGACCGCCAAAAAGCCAGGACCGAGGGGCCACCTCGGCTACCCCAACGCCCCAGCATCGCCCACTGATGCTTCCGCAGAGCACTATGGGTCAATACTGCGAGATGCAGGCCTCATCAGATTCACCCCCTCGATGTGGCGGCGAGGAACATCATACCTCAAGCCCCCCACCGAGCTGAGCACGCACCCCCACCCCTCCATTTCTGCCCGAAGTGGGGGCTGTCTTTGAACGACCGGGCTCAGTTTCCTGAGGCTGCTCGAGAGCTCGTCAAGGGCTCGTGCTCCCCGCGACCATCACTTCATCCAGCTCGCATCCACTTCCGAGCTGCTGCGCACTACTACCTGAGTGCAGCCCAGGTAGCTTTCTCAACTAGGCACCTCATCAGTTTAGTTTTTTTTTTTTTTTTTTTCAAAAAGAATCCATAGACTCCTCACTAACGGACCTGCAGCTCAACGTTGCTGGGGCCGAGCTGGCCCAAGATATGAAAATATGGGGAGAATCTCTCTCAGGCTGATGCGGCCAAGACAGGTTGTCCAGTCAGCTCGAAGCGACCGAGCAGAGCTGGAGGCAACGAAAAAGCAGCTCACCGACTCCCAGGCCGCCTGCGAGCTTGAGAAGAAAAAGTCCCCGAGCTGACTTCCCAGCTAGAGAGTGAGCAGAAGAAATCAGTCGAGCTAGTGGAAGCGGCCAGGACGGAAGGCGGCCAGCTAGGCGTTCAAATTTTAAGAAGTCGAGGCCTTTATGGATGATCTGGCCATCTTGAATGGCCCCGTCCTGCAGCTCGGCTACACCAAGGCCATGGCGGATGTTCTGTCTTTGAATTTGCCAGGTTTTGACCTGAGCAGGTGGCCTGATTATAATCCCCAGGCTGCCGATCAATTGACAGACTCGTCCCGGGCTACTCCAATGGGCGCGACTTGGCTGCCTTGGTCGCCAATCTGCCTGCCCGCGACCTCCCCTGAGCAAGAGCAAGAACAGCAAGGGGAGAACTAGAAGGTAGTGCCTTAGGCAGGTCTATTAGGCTAGGCTTAGATCCGAGCTCGGCCAGCTCACTTTGTATGGCCCCCCTCATGTTTTTCCTCTTTTTGAAATGAAATAGATAGCCTCTGATGGCCTTTCTTGCTCAACACTTGTAAAATTTCCTTTATTCAAAGTCTTTGATACATTATAAAGATATCTCAGCTCGGGATTGAAGTCGTTCTAAATACGGTCCGAGCTAACTAATGAAGTGAAGATCAGACCTGTCCAGCTGATTACCTCAGCTCGGACGAACTACCAAAGGAAAAGCCTCAAAACTGAGGGGTGCCAAAATAGGCCAAACTAGATAAAGTGAACCAACAAAACGAACTAACAGAACATAGAGCCGACCTGTCCAGCTGGTCACCTCAGCCCGGGCAAGCCCCTAAAGGAAAAGCTTCAGATTTGAGTTGTGCCAGGTGCGTGGAACTTCGCGACCATCCTGGCGAGCCAGCCTACAATAACCCGCTCGGTCAGCCTCTTTTACTACGTAGGGACCTTCCCAGTTCGGGTCCAACTTACCGGTGCCCACAGCTCGGCTAATGGAGTTTTTGCGCAACACCAGGTCCCCTGACTTGAAAGAAATGCGCTTTACCCTAGCATTGTAGTAGCGTGCGACCTGACCCTTGTATTTAGCCATCCGTATAGCCGCCTCTTCCCTTCGGTGCTCGACCAGGTCCAAATTAAGCCGCATCTCCTCATCATTGTTTTGAGCCACAAAGTGTTGCACCCTACCTGAGGGTACCCCAACCTCTGCTGGAATTATCGCTTCGACCCCATATGTCAGGACAAATGGGGTTTCCTGGGTGGTCGTCCGAGGTGTTGTCCGGTAAGCCCATAGTATGGTGGGTAGCTCCTCCAGCCAACTAGTTCTCACGGACTCTAATCTTGTCCTCAAGCCATGCAGGATGGTTCTATTTACGTTTTCGACCTGCCCATTGGCCTAGGGGTGCCCTACTGAAGTGAAATGCTGCTGGATGCCGAGCTCCGTACACCACTCTCGGAGAGATTGATCAACAAACTGTCTGCCGTTGTCCGAGACGAAAGTCCTGGGTACACCGAATCGACAAACTATGCTTTTCCAAAGGAACTTCTGAATCGACCTGCTGCTTATCGTGTTAAGGGGCTCGGCCTCTATCCACTTGGTGAAGTAATCAATGGCTACCACCAAGTGCTCACAACCCCCTGGAGCACGGGGAAACGGC